CACCATAATACCCACACGTCAAATGCTATAGGTACATAATATTGTATATACGAGTGTACATAATACTCACATATAGTGAGATAAAAAATAAGTAGACCCTACTCCATGTGAGTGTTATGTACACCTCTATGCACATTTATTATGTACCTGTAGCATTTTTCATACCCACACAATCTTTAATTATATATGTAAAGCAATTGTTTATTCCACCATAATCAACTCATCCAAATATTTTCATTAAGCAGTAACTTTTAGTGATTCACTTAATATGCATCATCTGCACATATATCATCTTGCACAAATTCATTTCTGATCGAGAATGATAATAAAATCAAAATTAATAAAAAACAATATGTTTTTACTTTTACATGTTCACCACAAATATGGAAAAAAAAAAATGACTCTTGTGAAACTAGTGTGCCATTGATCATGCAATAATTGAGTAGTCTACCAAAAATTTCTAACTTGTAGGCTTTTCAATTGTGTGGTGTTCAAAATCACATGTACAATTTAAAAAAATTAAGTCTCCATGGTTGTGAAGTACAAGTACAATAGAGCATCCATGTGAGCCTTGATAGTAGTTATATTCCATAAACTTGGCTGCCTGGCAAAATTAATAAACTTTCACCCCAGAGTTATGACCTGTAGGCGCATTTTTTGGAATTCCGGCCTTATCGTTTCGCAATAGTTCGTGATCTTCCCCGAAAAACATCCGTTCTATCATCTACCTCGAGTTGTGTGATAGGTTAGGTCGCCATGGGTGATAGAGGTGGACGTAAGCTATAATCAAAGGATCGGGCATCCGATATCTAACATTTAAGTCGTCTTATGTCATCATCGAGCTGCTGCACTACCTTATTCTCGAGGTTGACTTATTGTCGTTGATCACCTCTAAAAACGACCTACTCGAGTCGTCTTTACCCAGAGTCGACCTCTACACACTTAAAACATTCCGGTCCACTTATCATGGCTATATCAATGTGCATCTCATGTGCACTTTAATAGTCACAATAAAGGGTACAAAGTTTGATTCTCTAGACACTCCTCTTTCGTTTTCAATTTCAGCGAATTCAAGAAAAAGCCTGATTGAAAAAATTGTTTACTGAAGGAGTAGCAATTTTTTTTTTTTTTTTTTTTTTTTTTTTTTTTTTTTGTACAATATTTTCATGATAATATGATGTAACATCTAATTGGTACAATTCATTAAATAAAACTTCATAAATTTTACCTCATAAATTACACTTACGTGCATCTAACTTTTCAAAAACTGGTCTGTTAACTAAGAAAAAAATCGTTACATTTTATATTAATTGAGTAGTAATTATATTTTTTCATGGTATCATATAATAGTTATTATTAGAACTAATATATAATTATATTATACATTAAATGATATATTAAAGTTACATATACATAAAAAATTATGTTGTAAAACTTTTTGTTCAAGTTACATATCCTAAAATCAACCTTATATTTTTTTATCTGGTTAAGAGATTGTTTTTTAAATAAATTAATTTATTTTAATGTCGTAGTAAAATCCCTCAGAATCGCATAATCAATTGTTATAATAAATTTTATATTTTTCAGCAAATTAATAAATAATGATCTCTCAAAATTATAAATATTGTACTCCCTCCTATTATAATAAGTGTCGTTTTGAGAAATTGCACAGTTATTAAGAATATTTTTTTGCCAATATTAACCCTCATTAATGAGGATAGAGATGAATGTTTTGAGAAAAGATGAAGAGTGAATATGAAAAGACGTAGTGTATTTATTAGCTAGATGAAGGTAATAATGAAAAAATATGTACAAAATATCAAAAACGACATTATTTTGTTAATAGTTGATAATGTTAAAATGACATTTAAAAAGAATAGGGGGTAGTATCATTTATTACATTTCATGCAATCAATATAACGATTCATATGCAATCAAACAATTAAGTACTACTATATTTTTTAACCAATGATCAAATTTAAAAAATAATACCATTATCTAACTTATAATTTTAATATTATATGCATAAATATACCTTATAATACTCTATGTTTAAAAATTAATACCATTATCTAATGTATAATTTTATATATGTGCAAATGCACAAAATCGAATACTAGTAATATAAATAGTTGAGATGCAAATAAATGTATGCGAAATGCTACGGTCCCGTTACGTAATCATTTCGTCAGGTTTGTAACCGTTAGATCATTATGTAACTGTCGGAAATAGTTGATCTAATGGTTACAAACCCCGACGGAATGGTTCTGTAACGGGGCCATAGCATTTCCCTAAATGTATGACTAAAGTTTGAGTTAATGAAAACTTATAAAAAAACAACCTAGCTAATGTGCCAGCTATACTTAACATATAACATTGTGCATTCAACAACCACTACAAGAAAATGATGAAATTCCAACAGAAATCTATTCCAAAAGATTTATTCCAACGACAATTCCAACGGATATTTCAATACTATTATTTCTGTTGAAATTTTTCAATGGATTCCAACGGAAATTCCAACAAAAATAATCCATTGGAATGGGTTTTCCATTGGAATTTCCGTTGGATTTTGATGATTCCGACGGTGGATTTTCCAACGGGGGTGGAAATAAAAATTTCAACGGAATTTGCATATTCCAACGTAAATTCATACGGTAAAAAGTCGTTGGAAATATGGCCGTTGGAATCATCAAATTCCATCTAAATTTCCAATGAAAAACACATTCCAACATAATATTTCCGTTGGAACCATTCCTACGGAAGCTATACCATTGGAATATCCGTTGGAATTTCCAGTGGAATATATTACCTAGGATTTTCCGTTAGAATATAACAATTATTTTGTAGTGAACTGTCAAATTAATTAATAGCATTTGTAAGCTGATTTTAATTTTTATAGCCCTCTTAATTACTATGACTATTTTCCTTTACTATTTACTAACTGGAAATTAATCATTCTTTGTCCTTTAACCAGTAACTGCACCAGCCATTTAGTTGAGAGCTTTCATGCGTATAAAAGAGGCACCAATCCCTTCACCAAGTTTGAGGCACAAAAAATTCTTAACACTCCAAAAAGCAAAGCAAAAAATAAAAAAATATAAAATAAAATAAAATCACATCTTTCTTTTTCCCATTTTTGAACAGCCATGAAAATGTCCAAGTTGGTACAACATTCAAGCAGTACTTGTGCCTTTTTCGTATTCCTTTTGACAATTTTGGGAGATTTGACGAGTTGTGTAGAAGCCAAGGCATTTTTCGTGTTTGGGGACTCATTAGTCGATAACGGAAACAACAACTACTTAGCCACCACGGCCCGAGCGGATTCTCCACCTTACGGCATCGACTACCCGACCCATCGCCCGACCGGCCGTTTTTCAAATGGGCTTAACATTCCGGATATAATTAGTAATGCTTCAACTTCTCATGCTCCATATATCATTTCTAATGTGTAGGAGCTAGCATGCTTAAAATTTATTTTATTTTCGAAAACTCAAGCAAAATGTATTTATTCAGCTGGTTTAATTTGTGTCTTCTTCAACATATACGTCGATAAAGGTTAAAAAATGAATGTAATATAATTTGCATGTGTTGAATTTTGATGTAGGTGAAAAAATGGGGTGGGAGCCCACATTGCCATACCTAAGCCCAGAGCTTAATGGAGATAAACTACTTGTTGGTGCCAACTTTGCCTCTGCTGGGGTTGGTGTACTTAATGACACTGGAATCCAATTTGTAAGCTAGTTTTAATTAATTTCTTTTGCATTATTGGGACAAATTTATGGGAAACGCTACGATCTCGTTACGGTAACATATCTCGTCGGGTGTTTTAACCAGGGGCGGAGCCACCCCAAAGGCTGGGGTGGGCTCCAGCCCAGTCTGGTTCCAAATTTTTTTTTTTTTTAAAAAAAAAAAAATAGCCCATTTTTTACTTACTAGCCGAGGTCAAATAAATGTTAGTGCCTCATAGCCCAGTATGATTTTTTTTTTTTTTTTTGGTTACACCCCTGGTTTTAACCGTTGGATCCACGTGTAGTTAGATAAAATAGATCCAATGGTTAAAACACCCGACGGGATGGTACTGTAACGAGACTGTAGCATTTCTCCAAATTTATATATTAATTAATTAATTTCACCTAATATTTTGAACATTTTTTTTATTATCTAATTAATTAAAACGGTTTTGTTTGTGCATGATGATGAAATATTCATTTTTTTTTTTTTTTTCAAAAATTTTAGGTGAACATTATTCGAATTTACCAACAGTTGAGTTACTTCGAGCAATACCAGCAGAGATTGATTGGTGTAATTGGAGAAGAAGAGAGTAGAAATTTGGTGGAGGATTCGTTGGTGCTGATGACATTAGGTGGTAATGACTTTGTCAACAATTATTATTTGGTCCCTTACTCTGCCAGGTCACGCCAATATGCCCTCAAAGATTACGTCCCTTTTGTCATCTCCGAGTATAAAAAAGTCTTACAGGTAGACCTACCAGTAAGTTTCGTTTGGTTGGACGAACTTTTTTAAAAAGCTCGAGCTCATCTCATAAACTTTTTTAGGTATCTTTTCAAATAAACTCGTTGGAATTTTTATTTCAACTAGTTTATCATCAGCTAATTTCACCAAACAAAATTTTTTATCATATATTATCAGCTATCAGCTAGATTATCATATAGTTTTACCAAACATGGCGTATATCTTAATTCAGTCAACACTAGTACGAATCCCGTGCGATGCACGGGTAAGAGATATTTATTAAGATTTATAAATTAAAAATGCTCATTAAATAATATTTATAAATTTAAAATATAAAATCAACTCGTACGGTGCACATAACTGATATTAAACTACATTATATCATTTCAAAATAATTGTCGTTTTAAAATTTTTATTCAGAAATTCAATTTGAATACAATGAGGTTACATAAATTAATTATTTTGATAAAATTTTATCATATATTTGAAAATCCATGTGAATAATAAGTAAAAAATAAATTTTTATATTATTTAATTAATTAAAATAACATTATTTTTGTATAAACTCTTCACTTCAAAAAAATTATATAGTTGAGTAATTTTTTAAACTATAAGTAATTGACTATTCTAATTACCTCCAAGTTAATAAATAATTACTTATTTTCATTTTAAATTTGGAATCTAAATTTGGACTACACAATAAACATCCTTGTATATTTTATGTATATCTATATTTTATCAATCTCAAAATTTTCTAGATTGTTGTCGACTACCTTATCGTCAAATTTATCAACTAATTCTCTATAATTAAATTATAAATTATAAGTTTAATTAACAAATATTTGTTCAAATATTTTTCTATTTTTTAGAGAAATACACACCAATTTTCTTATCTCATGGTAAGTTATTATGGGAATATTTTAAAACAGTAAAGTTTGAGAATCATATCACCTTGATTTTATAAAAATCAACCTAAACTTCGACTTTCATACTTGTACTAAATAAAATTCATACCACTTATTTTATTTTCAAAATTCAAATACACTTCTCTTCATACCAAATGAAATTTATACTATTTAAGTTCGGACATTTTATACCAAAATAAAATCACCATTTTTTTATTCATCATAATACTCAACTATTGTTTTATTCAAAGATTTAGTCATATAATATGTATTAAGATAATTTTTTAAATTAACCACTAAATTTTATTATATGCAAATATTTTGATATTTTTAACAAAGTAAATTGTATACTCTTACAGCTTACGCAACACGGAATTCTATTTACGCTACGTAGTATAAGAACTAAAACTCGACGAATTACTTTTTAAATATTTTAAAACAGTAAAAGATATACAATTTCAATATAAAATGGCATTTATGCGTACATTTTTTTAAGGGGAAACCCGTGCGTCGGACATGGCTTAAAATTTCAAATATTGATTTGTTAAAAATTAAGCAAATTATTTATTTTTGTAAACAAAAACAAATCAATTTTATAAATTCCCAATAAATTTTTAAAATCGTTTCCTTTTTATTTACCATATTACTATATAATAAAATCAAAATATTTTGAAATTCGAAATTAAAGCTATATTGGCGGGTTTTTTTCCGATTATTAGTTTTTTCAAAAAGATTACCAAATTTATAGATATAAATATTGATGTATAATGAATTCAAAATATCATGGGCATGTGTTTCCTGTAAGAAATGATGTACCAAAATTTTA